AGTAGCCAAAATTATTACGATACCGAAACCCGGGAAGAAGCCATCCCTGCAGGCACTCAGGCCCATATCTTTGACGTCATGCACGGGAAAGCTTTTCGAAAGGGCTATTCATAATCGGCTCCAAAACTTTATAGAGGACAACGGCCTTTTTTCCAGCCATTATGCTGGGTTTCCGCAATGGCCTCTCCACTCAAGACGCATTTCTCCTATTACAAGAGGAAGTTTGGAGCTATATACCTACAGGAGGAGAACATCTAATACTAGCCCTTGATTTGAAAGGAGCATTCGACAATATCTCGCATAAGGCCATCCTAACAGAATTAAACAACATGGGATGTGGGACAAACACCTACAATTACATCAAGGCATTCCTCACAGAAAGGCGGGCTTCGATAAGCGTAGCACCATGCACGTCAGACGCTTTTGAGATGCCAAACAAAGGTATCTTTCAAGGAGCCATCCTCTCTCTCTTGCTCTTTATTATCGCCATGTTTGGACTCACGCGAGCTCTGGATGGAGTTCTGCAGTTAGGATACAGTCTCTATGCGGATGATGTCACCCTATGGGCAACGCGTGGATCTATACCTAACAAAGAGCAGACAATTCAAGAGGCTGCAACAGCAGTTGAAAACTTTGCGAAGGCAAGCGGGCTCAGCTGTGCCCCAGAAAAACCTGAAATTAGTAGGGTACATGGAAAAAGATACAAAAGTAACGGAAGCATTGACATACACGTTGAAGGTGTCAAAGTACGTGATGTGACCGTCGCACGTATTCTGGGTTACTGGGTTCAAAGTAATGGACGAGCGAATTATACAATAAACATATTCAAATCAGCCACGAAACAAGTTGCACGAATGATCCATAGAATAACATACCACAAAGAGGGCGTGAGGGAAGAAGACACAGTTAGATTAGTACAGGCACTTGTACTGTGTAAGGATACGTATAGTCTACCTTTCCACGTGTTAAACAAATCAGAAGAAGAACCCATCGAGTCTGTAATTAGGGGCGCCTACAAAGTGGCCATAAGGCTACCGGTAAGCACACCAACCCAAAAGCTTTTGGACCTCGGTATATGTAATACATACCCTGAGCTAAAGACAGCGGTACTGACTGTAAAGATAGCGGTACTGACCCAAGAACATGGACGTAAAAACAAACAGAAAGCGCACAGAGGAGAGAGTGCGATGGCTCCGAAAAACATTCAAAAACAAATCAAATGTATTGTATGTGGACGCTTCGAGGTACAAGTTTAAACGGTCAGTTGCATCAGTACTTAGCAACGACAATGCATGGTGGCATGTGCATCACTGTACACGTCCTCGATCGCCAAGGCGGAATGCTTTGCCATTGCCTTTGCAATCAAAGCGCAGGAAGAAAGAGATGAACCGCAGACAACTATCATTTCCGACTCGCAGGAAGCGTGCCGTTTCTTTTTAAGAGGCTGCCTTCCGATAAAAATAAGCAAGTTCTTAGGCGGGAGCTTGACGAACAAATACAGGCTGATCTGGTGTCCAGGACACGCAGGCCTGGATGGGAACGAAAGTGCTGACGCTTGTGCTCGAGGGCTCACAAACTGAGCAGAGCTTCGACAGCACATTCAATCCTATGAAACACTCCAGGAGGAAGCTATCGAAGAGGATAATGACCCATCCAGAATGGCCTCTCGCGAAATTCTTACTAACCAGCGAGGCATGCGACAAAAATACAGTGCCCCCCCATAAATCATTAGAACGAGAGGACGCGATTGACCTCCGCCGAATTCAAACAGGAGTCTTTCCCAATCTTCAAAGGTAACACAAAATTTTTCCAACGCTGTATTGGCGTGCTTGTCCGTGGTGTGGCGGCTCGCCATCGCTCTACGACATTTCGTGGGGATGCCTAAAACGACCACCAAATTTAGATACCTTTTTAGGTCAGTACAAGCTTTGTAATACTTTCGAGCAATGGAAGGCACAGCTCGCCAGCTCTGACCCAGAGGTGCAGCTTGCACTTCTGCGTCACGTCAGACAGACGGCAGCAGCCAGTGGAGCCCTGGACTTGGGGCCCCACCCCTCAAGCTCATGACCCCTGTCCCAAACCATTGCAAATAAAATTTTTCCTTCCTTTCCTTCCTTCCTTCATTTTAAGTGGACCAGTGGTGTTTAGTGTTTTACTGAATTTTACAGAATTTTCGTGGCGCATGCTAGTTTATGATGATGATGATATATTTTCGGTATGGTGTGTACAGAGAATGATTTGCTAAACAACTTCGGTATTTTGAAGAGTCGAAAGACTTCGATAATAACTTGTTTATTGCCCAGATAGTTAATTTCAACGCAGATAAATTAACAAAAGTAGTAGAGAATCACAAAATTGTGCAAAAAACGTTAGCACAATTTCGCAAAACATTATGCGTAAGTGCGCCAATGAAGCAATCGTAAGAAAAAGTTGTACTAAAACATTATATTATGTTCACAGTAAAGTTACACTTACTGTATGAATACCGCTCGTACTTAATAAGTTTTCTATTCGTAAGAGTAGGCAGTATACTAATACGAATAAATGGACAGCTTTGTACGCAATTATGCTGATGCTGGATCACCCAACTGTTGCATCTCCAAAATATGAAGTTTTAGGTGAAGTGCTGGCAATAATATAAATCCGATGCTTTCATGTGATAGAGCTATCCCTCTCTGTATAATATTTTTTTTGCATAATATCTTAAAAAATATCAAAGTCTAAACTCATAGAAGGCAAATAGACATTGTCAGTCTCTATTCTTCTTGATATGACGTTCGTTTCACCTTTTCAGTTGACGCACTGTGGGGAAAGTAAGCGTTTGCAACTCGCTCATCTCCAGAACAAACTCTGGCTGCTGAACACACTTTTTTACTTCTGTTAGCGTTCTGTTATAACTCCTGCACCAGACCCCCTACATTGTTTTTTGGCCATCCAACTGGAACCATATGCTTGTTACAGGTGCTCGTAATGCTTATTGTTCATCGCTATTGCATGCGTCGCGATTAATCAATGTGATTGAAGACGCATTCGCATATGACGTGTCAATTTATGCGGAAACGGTATGATATATATATATAAAATATATATATATATATATAGATATATATATTTATATATATATATATATATATATATATATATATATATATATATATATATATATATATATATATAAAGTGTGTGTGTAAGGGAAACAAGTGTATACTTGAGGGCTCGTTTTTCGTGTTTTTACACAATATTATTTAGATCTAACAAAGAATAATGCCAAGAAAGGCATAGGGGAAGTTATTAGGCCTATTGTAATGTAATTGAGAAGAAAGAAAAGTGGGTGCAAAGATAACTTTTAGTAGGCAGGATTCCAACCTGCGACCTTTGAATAACGCGTTCGATGCTCTACCACTGAGCTACTGTGACAGCTATCCCCCAGCCACTTTATTGGGTATCTATGTCAATTCAAACGTGGGAGTGTCAGTCAGCGCCACTAGCAGCCACGGCGGCGAGTGTGGCACACTCTTTATGAGCCTGTTTGGGGTCACGTAGCACGTGAACGTATTACTAACTGGCAGCTGACCAATAGTCCGTCCCCCGTATACAACCTAAAGGCACCAAGTCTGCCAGTACGAGACCCTCGTTAATGAATAAGAGAAACAAGTGTATACTTAAGGGCTCGTTTTTCGTGTTTTACACAATACTATTGAGATATAACAGACAATAATGCCAAGAAAGGTATAGGGGAAGGTATTAGGCAAATTTTAATGTAAATGAGAACGAAGAAACGTGGGTGAAAAGATAACTTACCGTGGGGAGGTTCCGATAAATGGTTTTCCATCAATCCATCCTTTAGCAACACTAGTTACATCCCGACTAAACGGGTTTCCATCGAACTCTCAATTTAATTACGCATATCGACAGTGGCACTGTAATGTAGTTCTCCTTCTGGGCGTATTGGGTTGGTGTGTGTCCCTTCATGGCGTCCCATCATATTTTTCTACCATTCTTAAACGAATATTCTAAAGTGTAACTTGCACTACATTTAGCAGGGCCAGCATCCTGCTGGCGTCACTAGTATATAACTTTTACTCAGACTGTAGTAACAATGAATTATTCTAAACTACCTAGAGTGAGCTGATATAATTTACCTTTTTCAGCGTTTTAACTTACTCACACTTATAGAAACATATCTTCCACATTGGAATAATCTAATTGATTCAGTAATGGGGCGCAGATTTGAAAGGTTCTCAAGATGTTTCTGTGTAACCGCATTTTCATGCCTGAATGAATTGGCTGGATGGCATTTTTTTCTAACGACGCCGCTAGTGGTACATGAATTTTATTTGTCCAATTCAATGCTACTTCTAGTCAGGGTTGTTCACGTTCTTCGTGTATTGTCCATTTCAGCACATTTTTCATTGCTTTTCAAATGTATATATATATATTAGGTCAACTGCTAAATGGTACTGCGTAATAGTTTTCTTGCAATGTCATCTTTTGTTCTCACTTATCTAGTGAATTCTCACATTTCATGACTTCTCAATATCGTTATGATTGTTTCATAACTGCCATTTACGTTATTAAAATGCCTGTAAACTTACGGGCTCGTTTTTAGCGTTAAACACAATAACAATGAGAACATAGAGAAAACGACGTAATAGTAGCTATATGGGATGATATTAGAAGTAACTGTATACATGTAAATGTTGAGAAATAAAAGTGTACAAAAAGATAACTTGCCACGGGCAGGGACGGAACCTCTGACCTTCGTCGAATGCTGTGCACCATTGAGATACGGCAGTTGTCATTCCTTTGTCCACTTTGTACTGTATGTGATTGCACTTCAACGTCAATCAGCGCTGCCAGTAGCCCTTAAGGCTGCTGTTCCACACTTACCCTAGAGTTTTCATTAATATTGTAATTTATTTTGTCGTTCTGTAACACTTTACTAGAGATCTTCATGGGTATTCGACTATAGATGCATCATCTTTTTTTTTCCCTCGCAGGTTTCTTCAGGGACATGCAGGGATCCTATGACAACCTATACCGCATTATGAGTGGCCTCATGTTTCTCAACGCTTTAGTTTGGCTAGTCGTAAATCTTACAGACAGGTTCCGCAAGAAGCGAACGTGGACAACGAGAGATTCTCAACTCCAGTTGTGTGACCTTCCCACGCTCACCGGATACCAAGTGATGGATTTGACTTCGCTGATGGCTTGAGAACACTCTCACTGAAGAAAAAGTGTTTCTCAGCTAGCCGACTGCGAGTAACCATATTGTTGTTGCAGAGCGCGAAATTTGATAGAAATCATGCTAAATTTCACGTTCCATGTGTCTCCCTGTCGCTAAGCTTAAAAGAACACCATTTCTGATAGGCAACAATACTGCATTTACATATTTCTATTGTTCATGCGTTGACGTTCTATATGTATAAAGTAATATATGGCAGCTATTGATGTGCCAAAGCCCAAGGATCACAAACTTGTGCCTGTTGATCTACATAAAGAAAATGTGGGTTTTCGGAGCGGAAAATTGTGTTTCAGCCTGTAAAGCACGACCTGTTTTTTCTGTCTACATTTGCGAGTGGGTGTACAGGTACTTGAATATTTTTGATTCCGTTGTTTGATGCTTTGTCTCAGCAAATTTTCTACCTGTAATATTTTAGCATGAACTGTGGGTTACTTCTTTACGTCTCGGGTACTTTTGCTAGATTTGCTTTTGGTATGTTTGAGCGTAGTGCCTGGTATTGTACCGTTATTATGTTTGTCCGCGTGTCAGTGCGTGCGAAAAAAGGTTACGATGCACACATACCAATTAGCTCGTCTTGCAATATTACTCCCGTTCATGGCTGGTAATATTTAGAACCGTGATGGTTCTGACATCCTGATGCCAAATTTTGTTCTCCTGCGTCGTGCAGTGAAAATGTTGAATATCAATTTTGTGTAGAGGAAAATGTTGGGTTTCGTTATGTACAATATTTAGTGCACTGCCGTGTTTCCTGATACGCTTGACGTTGAATATAAATTTATCAAAAAAATAATGCGAACAAGCTGAATCAATCACCATTCTAAAAGCTGTTTCGGAAAATAGGTCTTATATGACGTTGCACCGTGGTCATTTTCCTATGTCTCGAACTATTCATCTCCTACAAGTCCCCGTGGTCTCGTCGTAGATCAGTGAAGGCACTGCCGTCTACTCTGTGATAACTGTTCAGACATTGATGTCCTGTCAATGTCGCTTCAGTGCTTATTTTAGGTAACGTTGCACTTATTGTTTGTGTGTTCTTGACTTTTTAGAGATTGAAAATATTTTGTCAACACGTGATTACAGCTTGGCCACGCGCTTACGCAAATGCCGAGTGACGACGCTAGTAATATGATTCCGACGTGGAGATGGTTTAGACGAGCCTTTAATTTTGTGTCAATGTGCATAAAGGCCTTCTGAGGTAATTGTGTCTTGTACACCGATATTGGGAGTATGTATATAGTGTGGACTGGGCATGTAGAGTATAAACTCTGTTGTTAAAAATCTATTTTAGTGTGTTATTTCTGAGCACTTGCCATTTTATTTCCGCACCATATTAGTACAGTTATGTCACCCGTTATTGTGATTTCAGAGAACGTTGATTCTTTCGCCATTCTGTTATCGCACGCCACAAGCATAGCGTAGATATCCAGTGTCAGCTTTCGTTTTAGCGTAGGCTGTACAGGTCGAGACATTTGTGGTGTCAAAACGGACAAACACAGAGTAATTCGAACTTTTACTCTGGCACGGCTCAGTGTGCATCAGCTATGTCTATTGATAGAATATATGACACTGCTATTAGCACCGAAACGACAGGCTCCTGCTTACTTTAAAACATCGAAGTATCACGTTGTCTGGCTATTTGCACCTTTGTCGCTCATCCGCCGCTTAACATGTGCATTGTTAGAACACTTATGAACATCCCGGTTTAAATGTACTAATCAATATATTCAGAAGTGACGATGTTGACATTGTGAAGGTTGAAAGAGAGGTGCTATTCTGAGAACCTGTTCAGGACAACAACAACTCAACACTTCATCAGAACACTCAACGGAACAATGTGTTCAGGATAGAACCCTGAACAGATGTACAAGACTGTTATAAGAAATACGTTAACCGGTGAAATAATCTTGTGCATGTTCCCCAGAGAATACGATATACCTAACGATTATATGCGGATTGTTTCAATCAGTGAATAATTTCCTAAGTGTGCGACTGACATTTCCGCGAAGTTTGATGATTATCTTGTGCTCTAAGACACTCGACAGTATAATAATATGGGTGCTAAGTGCTGCACACTTGTTGATTTACTCCGCTGTGGAGCGTTTGCTTTTGTGTGTTTGCTATTATAGCGCAATTTAGTTCTCCTGAAAAACTTGTAAACCTTTTAATTTCGAGTACCTTTACGTTTTACTACTACATTTATGTCATTTTTAACGGGTCTTTGTTACATTGAATTGCCCCAATTCGGTTTTCATTGAAAGAAACTCGTAGAACATAGGTCTATTTTTGGTTGTGCTGTCAGCCATGCTAGTCACTTTCTTGCCTACAATGGAACATTTCGATGGAATACTTTTGTCGTAAGCCAAGAAAATATCCGGCTGTCGAGATTGAAAACCCTGTTTTATAAACTGTACCTGCATTGTATTTACGTGCACTGGTTTATTCAATGTGAGTTAATATACGTGATTGTCTATGTTACCTCTAATAAAAAGTTTTAGGACAATTTTATTCATTTCTTGCGAGAAGACGGCTTTGGCATGGTGCAAAGTGTGTTTCGAGGTGTCTCTTTTCACATGAAGTATTCAACAGGTGCTTGGATTCACAACCTTAGTTTTATTTTTACTTGAAAATGCCTGTTCAATTTGTAATCGTGGCTTTACTGCATTGTGAATATCAAGTAATTTACTAATTATCACTTCTTGAGCACTTGCATTAGAGCTTATACTATGCCAACTCTCAGCAGCGAGAAGTTCGCAGGAAGCAATACAGAACAGTTATTAACGGCAAATAAGTAGTCCAAGTAAACGTTTAGCCCCAAAGCAGAAATTGTACCGTCGAATATTAATCTTTATCTTTTACAGAGTCATTGAAATGAGTTTTCATTTGGTAAGGACACTAGTTAGTTAGGATGACTGCCAGTTGGGCGTCTTGGTAAAGGTTCATTATGAAACAAGCGCAAAAATACACACACTCAGAAAAGACACAGACAAGCGCTCACTAGCAACTGAAAATTTAATTTCGAAGCGAACACTAATAAATACATCACATGCATGTACGTCATTCCCGACTTCCCCTGTCATCATTAACAACGTGACATAACAAAATATGCACGTCCATAATCGATGGCACACAACCGGCGACAAACACGTGTCAAGAACTAAGAAAAGAAAACGTAAAACAAAAAAAACACTGGGTTATGTCACGTCCAAAAAAGCGAATTCCACATCTGTTAGTAGAAATGATGCTTTACTGACGCAACTGTCCACTCCCTTCCTTATTCTGTACGCTTCCATTATTTCTCTCGTCGTCCGCTTGTTGTCGCTGTCAATTATTCGTGTGTCGGAAAATTTCGGTTGGCAGGTGCACTCCTTGCAGTGTATCGCTAAGTGTGAGTAAGGGGCCCCCTTTAGTGAACTCTCATGTTCACAAAGGCGCACATTTATGCACCGACCCGTCTGACCAAAGTATTCCTTTCCACATGTGAAAGGAGTTCCGTATACAACATCTTTTTTGCACTCAACGTACCTCCTGCCGTGCTTTATCCTACATCTGTTCGATTCTCCAGTTCCTTTCTTGTTGACTAGTCTTTCTACTGCTGGACAAATTTTTGATGATTTGTTTTCAGCTGAAAAAACAACCCACACGCCATACCATAATGCAACTTTTTTCAACCTATGTAAAAAATTGTGCAGATACGGGATGACCACTGTCCGCTCTCTTTCACCCTCAACAACTCTCCTCTCTTCACGTGTGCCAACTATTGCATTTTTCACTTCCCGACGATTCTTCTCACAGGCCAAAAGGATACAATAATCTTGGTGACCAGCTCCCCTCAAGCGTTTGATATGCGTGGAAACACTCTCATTCATTGAGTGTACGCACGATTTCATGAGGGCAGCTTTGATGCAAGAAGTTGGAATCCCATTCTTTACTATCTTCGAATGGGCCGAATGATAGCTCAGCAATGGTTTTTCCGTTCTAGGGTGATACATCCAACACGTGTGAAAAGGAGACAAATTAATTTTTTAGGTCCAGAAAGTGAATGTGTCGTTCTTTTGGCAGCTCAAAGGTAAACTGTGAGCCACACCCGTTTTCCCTTAAAGCTTTCAGAACAGTCACTAACGTGCTCATACCCGGATTGTTTTTTGCCAAAACAAGGTAGTCATCTACAAATCTGAACAGCTTCAGATCCATACCACCAAGCTCCTTACCTACTGCTTTGTCAAGTTTGCTAAAAAAAACATGGCATAAGATCGGAGCGACACTAGACCTAATGCAAATCCCATCCTTCTGGACATACAATTCTTCATTCCACCCCACTAGCGTGGAACTCAGATACATGGTCAAAATCTCCATAAAACCTTTTACAGACACACCACAGGCGTTACAAAAAGCCACTTCGTCATTTTTTTTTTGTGATGCACTCTTGTACGCTTTGTACAAAAGTGCAAAGCTTGAACCTAATCAGGCTGTCTTCAGCGGTAAAAGGCGAAACAGGCTTACTGCTGGAAGCGTTCTTTACAGTAAAAACGCACAAGAAAAACCTTCCGTTCCGAACCATTGTCTCAGAAAGGGGTACCTGGCTATTTCTCGTGTCCTAATTTTTGCAAAAACATTTGAAAACGCTCTGGTTTTGTGACACGTTTTTGCTTTCCAACTCCATGGAAGTAGCAGACTACTTAAAGGGAGGTGATATAAGTGTCTCGGATGCCTTCAGTATTGATGTCGTCGATCTGTACTATTCTGTTCCACATGGTCCGTTACTACAAAGCGTACAAGAGTGAATCACAGAAAAAAGGACGAAGTGGCTTTTTGTAACGCCTGTGGTGTGTCTGTAGAAGGTTTTATGGAGATTTTGGCCATGTATCTGAGTTCCGCGCTAGTGGGGTGGCAAGAAGAATTTTACGTCCAGAAGAATGGGATTAGCAATGGGTCTAGTGTCGCCCTGATCTTATGCAATGTTTTTTTGAGCAAACTTGACACAGCAGTAGGTAAGGAGCTAGATGGTATGGATCTGAAGCTGTTCAGATTTGTAGATAACTACCTTGTTTTGGTAAAAAACGATCCGGGTATGAGCAAGTTAGTGACTGTTTTGAAAGCTTATAGGAAAAACGGGTGTGGCTTACAGTTTACCTTTGAGGTGCCAAAGGTACGACGCATCCAGTTTCTGGACCTAAAAATTAATTTGTCTCCTTTCCACACGTGTTGTATGTATCACCCTAGATCGGAAAAACCATTGCTGAGCTATCAATCAACTCATTCGAAGATAGTAAAGAATGGGATTGCAACTTCTTGCATCAAAGCTGCTCTAATGAAATCGTGCGTACACTCAATGAATGAGAGTATTTCCGAGCAGATCAAGTGCTTGAGGGGAGCTGGTTACTAAGATGATTGTATCCTGCTGGCCTGTGAAAAAAAATCATAGGGAAGTGAAAAATGCAACAATTGGCGCACGTGAAGAGAGGAGACAAGTTGAGGGTGAAAGAGAGCGGAGATTGATCATCCCGTATCTGCACAATATTTCACATAGGTTGAAAAAGTTGCATTAGGTATGGCGTGCAGGTTATTTTTTTAGCTGAAAACAAATTATTAAAGATTTGTCCAGCATTAGCAAGACTAGACAACAAGAAAGGAACAGGAGAATCAAACAGATGTAGCATAAAGTACGGCAGGAGGTACGCTAAGTGCAAAAAAGATGTATACGGAACTCCTTTCACATGTGGAAAGGGATACGTTGGTTAGACGTTAGACGGGTCGGTGCATACTGTCTGCCTTCGTGAACATGAGAGTTCACTAAAGGGGGCCCCTTACTCACACTTAGCGATGCACTTCAAGGAGTGCACCTGCCAACTGAAATTTTCCGACACACAAATAATTGACAGGGACAACAAGCAGACGACAAGAGAAATAATGGAAGCGTACAGAATAAGAAAAGGAGGGGACAGTTGCGTCAGTCAAGCGTCAGTTCTAATAACAGATGCGGAATTGGCTTTTTTGGACGCGACATAACCCAGTGTTTTTTTCTGTTTTACGTTTTCTATTCTTAGTTCTTGACACGTGTTTGTTCCCGGTTGTGTGCCATCGATTGTGGGCGTGCATATTTTGTTATATCACGTTGTTGATGATGACAGGGGAAGTCGGGAACGACGTACATGCATGTGATGTATTTATTAGTGTTCGCGTCAAAATATAATATTCAGTTGCTAGTATAAGCGCTTGTCTTTGTCCTTTCTTAGTGTGTGTATTTTTGCGCTTGTTTCATAATGAACTAGTTAGTTATTGCATTGCTTTGAGCAGTCTTTGGAATCTGGCGCCAGTTTCGTAACCGTAGCTGAAACCTTTTCTGAGTCCCTTGAATGATGATACTCGTACTTTCGTCCGAAAGACCCTTAATCTTAACATTGAAACCTTGAAATTGAACGACACTTAGCCGATTTCAAGTTGTGTTCGGAGAAAATCTGTAGACAATCAGCAGGCTACGCCATATTTTTTTTTCATGTGAATGTAGCATTTGGTATAACGTTCCATATCGAAGAATCCACATTCGTGGGACGCTTCCCCGAACTACTTACCCTGCAATCACTTGCCGGCACGCATGCCCTTTTCACTTGAAAGATGGTCGCGCACCTGATTTCCCCTCAAACTGCAAGTGTACGGTTTGTCGGCGAATATAAGCACTGCGCATATTACCGCATAGCTCGTTTGATTGAAGACAATATTCTTTCTTAGGATACTTGAACGCAGAAATATTGGTCTGTTTCTGCGTCTCTCTGCCTGCCTGTCTGTCTGCCACGTAATGCAGCCAACCATCTTAATCTGATGACTTCGTTCATACTTGTTTACATTGTCGAACAATATTTATGGTGCGACACCAATACTCATTGGATGGTCTGTTCTATTACTATAAAATACGTTGACAAGCACTTATAAGGACCCTGGTTTTTCTTACGGTGCGCTTTATTTGCGGTGCTGTGCTCAAAAAATTGGCCCTATATCTGCATGTTACACTGCAAATGTCGTCGAAAGACGATATCGTCTTGCGCCTGAAGAGAGTGAACAAACGTTTATTTGATGTTCTGCGCAAGGAAATCGGTGCATGGTATTCTGTAGGCGCTGCGTTAATGCGCCTCGAGCGTGCAGTGGAGGTGAACGAGCGCATCAAGTCACGCCACACGTGAGACAGGAACGCATCCAGCAGTTATCTTGAAAAACGAAGCGCGGGCGCTTTGCGAGCCCGTCTCGGAGGTGATGACGTGTAGAACGCAAGGAGACGGGTAGGTGCCACCACCGTGTCGTCTTAGCAAAGCTTTGAAAACACTTGCATTTTCGTGCAAGCGTTGCATGGTCAGCGTGACGTGATAAATGCTACAGTGCTTAGAATTACTAATTTATGCCTTTTTGTAGTAAGAGAAACACATACAGAATATTGACGTGTTGTTATGGTACCTTAGATAGTCGCAATAATGGCTTTTTAGTTTACAAACGCCGAATCATGAGCAATATTGGCA